ATCAAAGACCTCAATGTAAAGCCTGAAACTCTGAAACTGTTAGAAGAAAAATTGGGAAAAACTTACAAGATACAGGTGTAGGAAAGGATTTTCTAAACTGGTCATCAATTGCTCAGGAAACAAGGGCAAGAATTAACAAATGGGACCTCATTAAACTACAAAGCTTCTGTAGATCAAAGGTGGCATCCAGGCAAGCGGTCAGAAAACCCACAGAACGGGAGAAAATCTTTATCAGTGACACATCTGACAGAGGTTTAATATCCAGGATATATAATGAACTCATTAAACAGAATCAAGACAAGAAGCAACCCAATTAAAGGATGGGCTAAGGAGCTGAACAGAGAGTTCTCAGAAGAAGTAAAGATGGCTATGAAACATGTTAAAAGATGTTCAATATCACTAATAATTAGGGATATGCAAATTAAAACCACTTTAAGGTTTCATCTTACCCGAGTCGGACTGGCTAAGATCAGGAGAACAAATACTACCAAATATTGGAGAGGATGTGGGGAAAGGGGAACACTCAGCCACTGCTGGTGGGGCAGCAAACGGGTTCAACCCCTATGGAAAGCAGTGTGGAGAACTCTGAAAAAACTACAAACGTACCTACCGTTTAACCCAATTATATCATGCCTCGGCAAATACCCAAAGAACTCATCCTACTGCAGAGACACTTGTATACCCAAAGAACTCATCCTATTGCAGAGACACTTGTACATCCATGTTTGTTGCTGCTCTTTTCACAATAGCTAAGAGATGGAAACAGCCTAAGTGACTGAAGTCACGAGTGGATAATGAAAATGTGGTTCATTTATATGATGGAATTTTATTCATCAGTAAAGGAAAGATGAAATCATGAAATTTGCAGGTAAATGGATGGAACTAGAATCTTTTATACTAAGTGAAGTAACACAGACTGAGAAAAAAAAATCGACATTTGTTCTGCATATGTGGATCCCAGAACCAAACCCTGATAAGTTGAGTATGTATCCAGGCATGACTACAGGAACCAGGATAATGGAAAGGAAACAGGGAGGTAAAGGAAAAGAAAGAACTTGAAAGAGAAGAACAATGGGAAACAGGCCTTAATAAGGGAGATATGGATAAAAATTGGGTTAGTTTAAGGGAGGGAGGGAAGGGTATACAAGGAACTTAGGGGATAAGGTGAAAGAAGGAGCTCAAGAGAGGTAGGACCATAGGAGAAGGTTATTAGTAAGGACAAGGGGGGTGAATGGGGGCACCTTAAGTGGGAGAACTACGGTGGAGGAGTGAGACAATGTGAGAGAGAAATAATGCCTAGCTAGTTTTGAAAACCAGAGTGAACCATATTAGTCCAACAACGTACTGACAAATTATACAGAGCAGATCAAGAAATATATGTCTAGGTAAGGTTTATCTGAGAACAATTGGTCTTTGCCCAAGATTTATCTACATGACACACAGTAATTAAAAGTATCAGACTGGTGGAACTCACCTTCTTTGATATTTAACAGACATACTTTGAGGCCTGCACTAATTTGGTCAGAGAGACATAAAGGACAGTTTTTGCTCCTTGCCCTACTAGGTTGACTAGTTCCAGGGGACTATGAGCATCTCTCAAAAAGTCCTGTAATGGTGGTGGGTCACCTGTCCTCTTGATCAAGGAGGACGAGGAGACCCCACTAGATGGACTTGAACCAGTCTCCAGTCTACGAAGAGGAGGGTCAACACAGAGGAATCACTTCCTCCATGCTTCCAAGTGAAGCCAACCATGGTTGAACAGGACCTTTGATGCCTTATCTTCACATAGGCGGAACTGGTAAAAGAAAGGAGCCAGGGGCTCCTCCCAAGCCCATGTGACCCCTGAGGAACAGGTCCTCAAACAACCTTAAGAGTAAAAATAAATTGGTTTATCTGGGCCAACTGTATGGCCTTGAACATCTAAAAGGAAAGTATAACCAAAGATTAAAGGGGTCAATATAATTTCTTAAGAGTCCATTTGCATAGCTAAAGGCTACATAACAAGCAACAATGCCAGATAGGAGATACCTTCTTTTGAATTGTTGGCCAGGGTGACCAAAGGAACTCCCAAATAGTAACCCAGCATAGACCTGGGAAAATGAACAGCAGACCATAATCTTATAAAAGGAGTATTGACAACTGATTGCTGCTAGTAGAGGAACAGCTGACCGTCCTAAAGCAAAGACCTCTAGATAGGCCGATTAGATTTCACCAGAATGGCAAGTAGTAGGGATTGGCTGGGGTGCCAACAACACACCAGACAGTAGCAGGGATATCAGAGTATAAGGGTTCTATTGGGGGGAGGGAGGCTATGGGAGGGTGCCATCTGGGAAGTGGGTGTATAGTCAAATAAGATGGCTTGGGATGTTCTTTGTGATATACACACACACAAAATTTTTAAAAATATTATATTTGAGAAGGAAGCATGGAAATTTACATCATGCTAATTAGTAGAGGTGGTAAACGTTATCATTGAAATCCACCCCATGACTTCCTAATCTCTCTCTCTCTCTCTCGTTGTCTTTGAACTTACTATGTAGCCCAGGCTGACCTTGAACTCACAGAGATCCCCCTGCCTCTGCCTCCCGAGTGCTGGGATTAAAGGCGTGAGCCAACACACCCTGCCCAAAATAGAGATCTTTTTTAAAGGTTAAAAACTCAATTTTATGTCTTACAGGGCTTATACTGAGTTCAATGTTGTATAACTGTATTAACTGTGAACTTAGAACTTGCACCCACTTGTGAAAGAGATGTACTCTTGCTCTGGAGTGTGTTAGTAAATATGTTAAATCTGTAGTGAATTGCTGCTTCTGATCATGTAGTTATTAAAAATTAAAAAATGATTAAAAAATAATTAGTAGATGTGGAAAGCATTACCATTGAAATCTACCCGATGACTTTATATCCATGCTCAGATGCCAAGGAGCTCAGAAAGTAACCGACTGTCACTAGTTATAATCAGATATATACAGATGAGAAACATGTGCAAACATCTTAATGTCAATTGCATCGAAAATGAGTTTTTCTATGTGAAACTGTATTTTAATAATGAAATGGATTAAAATAATGAGATTCATAAAGTAATGAATTTTAAAGGTTAGAGCCCCATTCAATTTTATGTCTTACAGGGTTTATGCTGAGTACAATATTGTATAACTGTAACAATTCAACTGTAAAACTAAAAATTTACGGCCAATTTTGAAAAAGATGCTTAGCTCAGAAAATTGTTATTGAATATGTCAATGCTGTTGTAATGAAATGCTCCTTCTAAGTATGTGGTTATTAAATAACTGGGAAAAAATCATTTTGAATTACTAAATAATCTTAACATGTATAAAATTCTATTTCCCTCTCTCCCTCAGTCCCTGTTTCCCTCCTTCCCTTCTTTTCATTCTGAAGATCAGTAAGCCCAGGGACTTGTGCACATTATGAACATTTGTAGCATTGAGCTGTACTTACAGCCTCCATGTTTCTGTTATTAACTGTCTCAAATACCATTTGTAAGAAGGGACTTTAAAGATGACTGTTATTTTTAGGACTGTGAAAATAAAGATGTATACTGGTTTGCCTTAACTGTTTGCCACTATGAATTTCTTTAATAGGTGGATACAAAGGTTTAAATGAAGAAATAGTAACAGGCTCTGGAAAAAGTAAGTATTACTTTGGAAAAAGTTTAATTTTTGTAGTAGTGTTTTTTTTATTCCTTAATTTAAAAAAATCTTTTTTTGTCTTTATCCCTTTTAAGACTCTTGGAAATCAGAAGCTGAAGGAGAA